TTCCTCAGAAGCTCTCCAGTGCAATGAAAGTTAAATCAATTTGTAACTTTGAGATCTATGAGGCCATCTGAAAACCCTCATAAGCAAAATTTTACAACGAACAGTTGATCGGCTGCCTACAACTTAAAAACTGTGCCATCACAGCCCCGGTCACTCATACCACATCCAATCATGCGAGAATCCACATCAGAGGACGCTTAATGGCGCAACCGATCGATATAAGGCGGCTTCGGCTGTCGATCGATACCGTGCATCAGCCAGCTGGGCGACGCTAACTAATTGGGCGAGGCGAAAGAGGATCGCTTGCGGAACTTCGCCACAGCAGTCAAGATATTACGTATGTCACAAAAACTGATTTAAGTTTTTTAGGTTAGCATTCTTGAAACAATCGAATTGAATACGTATAGAATTCACCACGTTTTTCTTTAACGTAATCTCTTTATGGAATTTACGGTACCCCCAGAGGCGCTGAATATCCTGCTTGAAACGCTTTAACTTCGAGTATTGGCTGCTAGTATCGCCGCATGCGCCTCACTTCAAGTAGCTAAAAAACCCTTCTTTTCACTTCATTCTTAAGCTTTTGTCGAATACGTGAGGAGACAAGGGTCCCACGTGCGTTAGGCCATTGTGTTTCCTAGTTCTATAGTGAACCCAGTAGCTCCCGATTCTTCAGACTGAACAGGCTGTCTCGTAGAAACGACATCTCGCAAAACTCATTTTTCAGAGAAAATGACACCGCGACGCATCAGCATCAATTTGGAACAATTTCAACTATCCGATTGTCTATTCAATTCTAGTCATAACAGTACGCCTATTGAATATTCTGGTGATTTGATTATCCAACGATTACCTCTGTATACAATTATAGCGAGACTCGCTCGGCTAACGAGTGTCTTCAGGTACTTCGACGCAGGAGCAGAGTTCATTTTTCAACTTTTTTCGATTTTTTTTGGGATGCCGCTCATTAGAAGCTTCAACGTAGCGTGAGTGCTAACGGTATAGATCCATATGAGAAATGGATACCCGCTAAATGACGTTACAGCGAAAAAACGAAGAAACGCGGATTCCGCTTTTTTCGTTTTTTTTTTCGACCAATTGACTGCGGTATTGTATATATCAGCGCACGTCGCCGAACGTCCAAGCTATCTTGCAGTTTCTGCATTCGAGTGTCCTGCAGCACTGAAAGCTCGAGTCCGAGCTTGTTCGTCTCCGTTGGGAGGAATACCACGACGAGGTAGAGTACAGATTAATGGGGACTTGGGACCACAAAAAAACTTTTTGAAAACAATAAATAATTGTACAATAGTTCACAAAGTGCTCAGAAGTAGTGTATTCCTATGTTTTCGTTTATGAGGAATTCAAAGGTCTCATATCTGTTCGATCTGACTTGTAAGTTCGATCCGATTTGAAAAGCGTCTGATATGATTCGAAAAGTGTTCGATCTGATCTGTAAGCGTTCGACCCGATCTGTAAAGTGAGCGATTTGGTTTAAAAGTGTCAGAATATTTCAGAAAAGGTCCGATTCGTTTCGAGAAGTAACCCAGTATAGCTGTAGTGTTCGGTCTGATTGAAAATGTTAGATCTGATTTGAAAAGTGTCTAATATGATTCGAAAAGTGTTCGATCCGTTTTGAAAAGTGTTTGATACGATTTCAAAAGCGTTCGATTTGATTTGGAAGAGTCTGATATGATTTAAAAAGTGTTTGAATTGGTTTGAAAAGTGTTCGATCCGACTTCAAATTGTTAAATCCGATTTGAAAAGTGTTTGATCCTATTTGTAAAGTTTTTTCTCTTGTGATTAAAATTTCAAGTGGGATCGAACACTTTTCAAACCAAATCACAGACATTTCAAATCGGATCGAACACTTTTCGAACCATATCAGACCCTTTCAAATCATATCAGACCCTTTTCAATCGGATCGAACACTCTTCAAATCACATCAAACACTTTTCAAATCATATGAGACTCTTTTCAAATCAAATCAAACACTTTTCAAACCATATTAGACTCTTTTCAAATCATCGTTACGATATCATTTCTTGTTTAATCATCTCACTTTCAACGTTCGGAGAGAGAGCTAGTGCAGGGGGTACTAGCTAGTAGCATGGGCCTAAATGATGCTCATGGGCCTAGTTGTTCAGCCTCCACCGGGATTTTTGCAAATGTTCACTTTTTTATAGCCCACCCTCCACGGTCGCCTAAGGGATCACCTGACACATTTGAGGGGATATGGCCTTACTTTATCGCTGAATTGTTTTAAGTGCCTGAAACAGCTATCACAGAAAAATACAGCTGGTTGATCAAAGTCATTGTTGCTACCGAATGTCAAATAATAGTGCCATCAGGCCGTTACCACTTTGATACAATAAGGAAAGAAACATCAAGACAGGTCTGATTCGTCGTTTGAAAGGCCAAGTGGGACTGACACATGACTGTCACCCATGTCACCATTTATGCCGAATAACATCCCAGTACTGCTAAAGTTAGCAGAACGATGGGAAAATTCACTGCATAAAGTTTGAAGGATAGGCTTTCGCCGACGATGAGCCATTTTCAGAATGCTGCACACACACACATCACACACACACATTACACAAACTCAAACACACACAATACACTGATACCACTACACACAACCCACACACACACACACAGAGTACAGGCCGACAGCCAACAAGCAGACAGTCAGACTTACATACACATATACACACATACGTACACACGCCTACAGCCATACCAAGCGGATTTTATATAGCATGATTCTAAGCTACTGCGCTGGCTCGTAATATTGTCACTGTTCATTAAGAAAGGAAGCTGAAGCAGATTAAATGGCGCAAAATCCATTTTGAAGCCTGTTCGCGAGTTTTTCGTCCGCTACTATATCTATGTTTGTATTTATTTACTTATTTATTCATATTACCCCGGAAAAGTCCAATCCGAAGTGAGAGCAAGTACGTCTAGTAGAGACTCTAGAACCGCCGATGTGTACCATTTAAAGAGATTGGGCGGCTCCTGTGAGGCGTGAGCGGGCGGGGATACTATAGCAATGGCGGAGCCACCTGTTACAAAACAAAAAAGAAACTAGAATTAAATTACCCTAAAATTCCCATAGATAAGACGCGTTTAATTTACCGGTGGAAAATGACTTTGGAAATGAAATTGAAATTGAAATGCAGTCACCCCTCTAACTTGATTGGCTGGATAATAAAAACTCGAGAAGAAGTTTAGAGATTTAGTTTAGAAGAAGTCCAAGGTTCAATGGCAACATCGACGATAATTGTATGGCGCTCTAGCTTGAAAGCTGCTGATTACTATTACGAAGTTTTCATAGCAGGTGATGACAGGATATGAAAAAGTATGGAAAAAGGTAGAAGTTGGATAGGGGTAATTATTGGCGCCATAATCCATGAGCACACGAAAACGCCAAAAAAAAAACGTAGTACAAACGTCAATTTTTCATTTTCTACACAAACAGCGTCTATCTATAAGCCGCTCTTCTAGACCGCTCCTATCTATGGATTTTTAGGGCACACACACACAACACACATTCACACACACACGAACACACACACACAGTCAGAGCACACACACAATACACAACTCAACACACACATACACTGAACACACCTACACACAGACCACACACACACACAGCACACACGACACACACACAGAGTAAAGGCCGACCAGGCAACAAGCAGAACCAGTCAGGCACTTTACAGTACCATTACACACATACGTGCACCACGCCTACAGCCATAAATCAAGCGAGTTTTAATATAGGGCATGATGTTCTAAGCTACTGCGTCTGCTCGTTAATGATTGTACTGTTTCATAGAAAGGAAAGCTGAAAGAGATTAAATGCGCAAAATCCCATTTTGAAAGGCCTGTTCCGAGTTTTTCTCCGCGTACTATAATCTATGTTTTATTTAACTTATTTACATATTAACGCCGAAAACGTCCAACTCCGAGTGAGACAAGAACTTCTAGTAAGACATCTAGAACGGCGCGATGTGGTAACCATTTAAGAAGTTGGGCGGGCTCCTGTGGGCGGGCGGGGATACTATAGCAATGGCGGAGCCACCTGTTACAAAAAAGAACTAGAATTAAATTAGTTAAAAACGTTAAATTAGTTAAAAACTAGAATTTTGAACAAAAGAATAAAGTTCTGTAAAAGACGCAAAGTGGGTGTTACTGAGGGAAAGTGTTTAGTGTGCTAGCGCATGCATGTCTACGTGTACATTCGTTTGTGACAATGAATGTGAGAAAAACGGCGAAGACGGTAGAAAAAGTTATAAAAATCCAAAATATCACTTTTCAGTGAAACGATAACTTCATTGAAAAGTGGGCGAGGTGGTATGTGCGTCGATACCAACCCTTCTCAGTTAGATTGTAAGCATGAAATAGCAAAAGTTCAAAAAAGTCCGAGGAACAGAGTTCATGAAGTGAATTTTGGAAAACTAGACTGAGAAGTGGGGCCAGTGCACTGAGCTGTACGGATACCAATTAAAAAACACCCACCCTACAGTCGGGACCTGTCACCCAGCAACTACCTACTTTTCGGAGATTTTAAGCAGCAGCTCCTAGAGAGCAGATTCAACGACGAGAGCGAGCTAATCCCTAAAGAAGTCACGATGTGAAAAGCGCACTGAATAGATGCATGCTATAGATAATTGTAGTGGTGGTTCTAGGAATTTGGGAAAGGAAAAAGGAAGAAAATTTAGTACTCCGATACTTGCTGTCCTGCACACCGCACCATCGAGCCTCACCCACCGCGGATGGATGGGAAAAATAAGTTTTCCCATCCATCCGCGATCCGCTCATCGGTATCAGATTCCGTGCAAAAGTCAATGACATAGAATTAAACATGGGTTGCCGATTTCCGACTTTGTACAAACCGAATCATCACTGATTCATCTGCACCTTTTCACAATTTTCTCGACATCGCGCCCGTTCAGAACTTATGCATTATTATGCATTTGTGTATGTTTATGCCTTCATCACTCACTTTCCTCGTGTGTACCGTACTCCAGGTATTCATTATTTTGAATGTCACCTAGCATCTGATCGTTTGAAACAAAGAAGTAGTGTTTGCCAGCAACTTCGTCCTTTCTTGGTGGTCTCGTCGTATCTTAAAAAAAAGTCGTTAATAACTCCAACATGGAACTCAGCTGAGGAATATATTAGTGATTACGTGGTATTGGATAGGCGAATTGACCGGGATGTCTGTGTATGAGAGTATTCTTTATGTGCCTCCGTCCAACACCATGGGCACCCAGTAAAACTAGGGTTTTCCTGCGATACTGAGATAATCGCATCACCTGTAACTCTACGAAAATTTTTGTAGAGCATCACTGGCGTTTACATCAGAAATCACAGTGCAGCGTGCAAATAACGCTAACAAAACTCATTATAGGCTACCAGTCCACAGAAATCTTATACTAGGGTGTCCCAAGGTTCGCCACCATTTTCGGATCTGGGGCCAGATCTTTCTGCCGTGATTTCAAAACCCTGTCATGTAATCTATGCAGAGCGTATTACGCAAACTCCATAGCTGCCTCATCGATTATCGCAGCCGCTGTTTCCAATACCGAAAAAGCGGTTGAAAAGAATTATTGTTCATTGTTCATGCATTATTCTAACATAGCACTATTCTTTATGCTTTGATTAATAGATCTTGATTGAGTCACAACGTGGCCGGAACCAACCGCGACATTTGTTGGGTAAGGGTGCAATTCCTTAGTGTACAAAAGGTCGGGTCACCTTGGCCAAGGTGAATTTAACTAGAAAGATTATTTCTACCTGGTTTGCATTTCAGAAAGCTGCGCTCTTCATTTCGTCCCATTCCATATGAGTTTACACGCTTTTTAGCCACCAGCACTCGGATGGTGCGAAAACACGGTGGATGGAAGTCTTTGCTCCCTCGAAAAAGTACTGAAACTCGGCCAATATCCACGAGTTGACCGGTTGCAAATGGAAGACGCGTGTACGGCACCGCACACAGCTTTGGTCCCGCTCTCGAGATATTAATTTAGGTTGAAAAATTACACCCCGTAAAGCCCTGAACTGGTTACATCCAGAAGGTGAAAACAAGTGGCGAGCTCATGCTATACCATTCGTGAGAAGCTGCTGAGACGTGCGACGTCAGTGTTATAGTACGCCATGCAGGCGGAACAGTACAGATAAAAACAGAAGATTGACTACCAGCCTTTTTTTTCCTAAGCAGCCATTTTATGGACAAGAAATCAGACTTGAAAAAGATCTCGAAAAAGTCTCGAACAACATTATAGTACCGTTGTTTGACTTGCTGTCAATACAGATTCGTTTCTAGAAAACGTTAGACACGGTCATGAAGTTTTGGGACACCACTATAGAGTAGAGACTATATTCGCCGGCAGATTGACCATGAGCCAATGTACCTTTGAAAGCCACTACGAGTCTAAATGGAAGTCATGTGCGTGATCAGTCCGACAGGGAATGATCAACACTTTAAAGTCTATTCGTCATTGGAAAAACTAGTGCAATACCCACTTCACACGCGGAACTGGATCAATACCCACTTCACATGTGGAAGAAGTATCGCTCGGCGAAGCCAGGCGTTCCTCATTGGAAAAACTAGGGCAATACCCACTTCACACGCGGAAGAAGTATCGCTCGGCGAAGCCAGGCCTTCCTCATTGGAAAAACTAGGGCAATACCCACTTCACATGCGGAAGAAGTATCGCTCGGATGATGAAGGCCAGTGTCGTTTCTCTTCATTTGAAACTATGGTGCTTAATTTACCCAGTTCACACGCGGATCTGTATCAATACCTCACTCTCTTCTCTTACGCGATGATGAGATCTGCTCCGCAAGCGACGTTCCGAATGGCTCTCGCTGGAAAACTGCTGGCATATTTCTTATTTCTACTTCAGCGCAGTAAGAGAGTGGAGTTCATTGCTTACATCGCAGTTGTACACAGAATTTTCCCGATGCCGTACCGCTTTTGCCTGCTTGGCTCTGTATATTTACCGCTTCTCCTCGTTTTTTTTTAAATTCTATGGGTTCTCGTCTGAAGGAACTTCTGGTTTTAGTCTTTTGCGTGGCCGTATTATCCTTGATGCTGCCTGGTGATCCCCACAAATCCTTATCCGTGGCGTGGGTTAACGGTTTTGGACTGTTTTTTCAAACGTACAAGTGGCGGAGGGGTCCTACGTCTCAGAGCCTGGCGATGCTACGCGTTGGTTAATTTTCTCTCGCCGAAACAGTAACAACTATGGGCCTCATTCCGCTGAAGCTGAGGGTACCACCGACAGGGCGACGTCGGCTTGGACCGCTCCGACGAGGCTGCATAAAAATCACAGGGCCAACGGAGGATTTTGAGTCCTCAGGACTAAGGAATGCACGATCTGTTAACTTTTCAAGCGCAACGGCGCTTGCATGTCGAAGGCTTCACAATCGAAGATGCTGTAGTGTTGCAGAGCCAGGAAGATCACGTACGACGTCATCAGGGACTCGATGCGAGACGAGGAGGCATCGCTCCGGCTAATCACCGCCGTGTAACGAAACTGGAGAAGAACGTTCTCGAACATGCGCACCAGCAGAGGCGTTGGCGGTTGGGCGTCTCGTGCACCGCACGTCTGGGGGCCCTGAGAGGGTTGGTGAACACTGGATTCGTACGGACCAGTCTGACGACGCCGAATCGGGACGTGTTGGCGGAGTTGAGAGGAGGGGATGTGGTTCGAGAGGGGGGCTGCCAGGCTTGTGACGAATGCTGTGGCGGCGCGCGCTGGCGGCGACGCGGAACTCGAGAGTAGGACGGAGGATGAGCTCGGAAGGCGTTCTATAATTGGAGATTGGAGGAAGGTTCGCTACAGGAAGATCATAGGCCGTTAGCTTCAGAGGTCAGGTGCGGTCGTTGGATTGTGACGCGCGTTGGAAGAGATCGGACCAGGGAGAAGCGGGTGCTGAAAGACTTCAGCGGTCGGAATCACGGACAGCGGAGTGGAATGATGCAGGGTGAAAGGCTGGTCTGAGGTGTTATGCGGGATGGGTCGACCACAGCGCATCCTGGTGACCTGTCGAGTTCGGCAGAACCGCTACTGCTCTACGACTGGCTGGAGTCTGGGCGGGGCGTGGGGTGGGGGAGCAGAGTTCGGATAGAGCGGAGAGTGCGGCGCGCGATCATCTGCAATTCGAAGGTTTTGGGCCTAGTCGATGTCGCTGTTGTCGCCTGAAGTTGCTAACCGGGATCCCCGGAGCGCGATCGCGGGGGTCCGTTCGCGGGGAAAGTTGCGGGCTTGTTCGGTAGTGGCGAGAGAGAGAGGCCGGCAAGAGTGTCAGAGAAGGCGAATCGCGAATAGGACGCTCCGGTCGAGGAGGCGGTGGGATCACTTCACGTTGCTCCGGTGCGCTGGGGCTCTGGGAGGATTCATGTCATCGACAAGCATGCGACGAGGAGTACGAACGGCGTTGGTTGCACATCTTCACGCCTGCGCCAGAGAAGTCAGAGGGTTCCAAGATTACCTAGAAGCGCTATCTCTGGAAACTCTCGAGCGTGATCCGCCAACTGGGAGCCGCACGAACGGCAGGCAATTACCAGCTGACTTCTTGCTTGCGAAGCTATGCAGAGAAGGGATAAAGGAAGACCTCAAGGAGAGGAAGAGAGGCGAGTACTGGTGAGAGCGCGCAGAGGCTGGGAAGAGCATACGCAACGCCCGCCGCGACTTCGCGAAACTGTAAGACCAGATGGACCGCTCGCGACGTCCGGATGGAACATATCACCGCATCCAGGGAAGGATGGGAGAGGTCATCCACGACTTCTACTCGTGATCTCTTGATGAGGCACGTCCACCTGCCCACCTACGCTTGGAGCAGGATGGATATGTCGTTTCTGCAGTTCTCGCTTCCGAAGTCCGACACGCCATCTGCGTCGTGAAGAATCGTAACGGCACCCGTGTCCCGACAGGATCAGACCCGAACATCTGAAAAATCTTCCCGCAGTTTCTCGTCAAAACTCTGGCTCGACTCTTCACGCGCTACCTGTCGAATGCAAGGTACCCACCTCGTGAAAACCAGCAAGACTGTTGCTGTAACAAGAAGGGAGCCTGTACGACATTGGCAATTATCCCCAAGTCTGCCTGCTGTCTGTAGTCTCTCCAACTCTTCACGCCAGTCATCCTGAATAGGATTGGCAGAACTACTAAACGAAGGACAGCCATGCGAGCCAAGCAGGGTTTCGAAGAGGATTCAGCACGATCGATCACATCCCACGGTAACGAAGCTCATCGAAGTATCGCGCGAGAGTACAAGAAGCCGCTATGTCTCACGTTCATCGACTTGAAGAAGGCCCTTCGACTCGATTGAGACAGAAGCGGTTATCGAAGCCCCTGGCAACAGGGTATTCCTACTCAGTACATCAGGATTCTTCGTGAGCTCTACAGCACTTCACGACCAAGATTTCACCAACTAACAAGGAATCATCATTGATGTGAAGAGAGGGGTTCCGACAGGCGACATCATCGTCGCCCAAGCTCTTCAGCGCCTCTCTCGAGACGCGTCATGCGTCAACTGGAATGGGAAGGCATGGGAGTGAAGATCGACGGTCGGCAACTACACCATCTCCGCTTTGCTGACGACATCGTTTTTGATAACGCCTAAACTCGAGGCAAGCGAACGAATGCTGGCTGAATTCGACTGGCGCGTGTGGAAGAATCGGTCTATCGCATGAACCTAACGAAGACGATGTTCATGAGAAACGGTTGTATCTGATGCCCCATTCACGGCTGATACGGAACGACCATCTCTGAATGCTCTATGCTATGTGTACCTAGGTCGTGAAATCAATAAGGATGAATGACCTAGCTGAGCCTGAGTCAGGAGGAAGCGAGCGGCTTGGGGAGCCTTTCAAGAAGGGAGTAGCAAAGGAGGAGAAGCAACGAAGAAGAAGAACACCAAGCTCCGTGCCCACCTCTTCGATTCGCGGTCGTTCCTGCCTTGACGTACGCCTCAGAGACTTGACTCTACGAAAAGCAGGATGAGCAATGCGGTCGGCGTTATTCAACGCGCCATCGAAAGGGCGATGCCTGGAGTTCCGCTACACGCAAGTGAGAGAGGGAATCCGGAGCTCCGCACTCCGCCAACGATCAAGATCAGAGACGCCGCCGCATTTGCCAAGGTTTCGAAGATCAGGTGGCGCGAACACGTCATGCGTTTCGAGGGACCGCTGGACCAGAGCAGCTCACCGACTGGATTCCACGGGATGTCAACGAACGCCTGGAGAACCGCGCTATGCGATGGTCAGACTCTCTTTGTGAAAGCTCTGAACGACCGGTAATGA